TATGTTACGGTGGCCATTCCTTTGGTATAGCTGGATGAGTGGGCTGGACAAGATGGCGGCCACTGAGGTCCTTCATTGTAACATTAAGAATCAAATGACTGGTGGGTTATCCTCATTATATGTATTGTGGGCGAGTGGAAAGAACAGTGGACTTGGAGCTAGAAGACCTGGCTTCGAACCAGCACAGGTAGTGGTGGTGTGACCTTGGATACTTTAAAGTCTCCAAAGCACAGTTTCATCATCTATCAAATGGAAGTAACAATATTTACACTACCTGGAGGAAAGCACTTTGTAAAGTACAAAGTGGTAGTTGTTGTCACTATTAATTATATGACATGGCCTTTTGTTCTCAGGATAGCAGTAGCACTGTTAGGCTATTGTACTCAGCCAAAGCAGAAAATGTTTCCCAGCAGGAGTTTGTCCATACAATACTGCCCACTGTGAATTGCCCTGACCTCACACAGTATGAAGTCAGCCATCTTTCTGACACCAAACGCTTAGCATTTGAGTTATTCCTTAACTCCACAGAGGCTCATCAAAAATGACCAAGCATATGATTCTCAAATTAAAGAAAATATCGATATGAGCATTTACTAGTGATAAAGAGTCCATAAAAATCTTATTTTGGAAGGAGTGCAGGGTTTGGATTTGGAGGACCTTGGTTCCAATTCTGGCTCTTGCATTTTCAGTGACAACCTTGGGCAAGTGATTTCTCCTCTCTGGGTTACGTTTACATTATCTGTTAAGCTCCAAGTGCCCTTCCAGCTGTAACTGTAGGAACTTCTGATTCTCTGGCAGCTTCTCTGACATGTGCTATGGAAGAGTAAAGCATTTCCCAGTCTAGCAGGGTTTTAAATGCTATGTGCCCAAATATTGTGACCTTTTAGAAAAGAATTTTCTGAGATCTAAGAGCTCAGCTGTTAGGGTCCAAACTGGGAATTAGACACCCAAGAGTTATTCTTTTCCTGGGCTGTGCATGGAATCTTTTTACAAATGCTCACATCAGTAGTTTTCTAGATTACAAATGGCAAAATATTCTGGAAACAACACATTTGACTTGGCTGCTAATATGTGTGGAAAGAGCAATGTGATGGAAGTCAGGAGAGGAAGATGCAGGTTTCAGTTCTGCCACTCCCTATCTGTATGACCTCAGGCAAGTCACTTCCCTAACAAGGTTTGACTAGATTTAATCCAACGTGGTTTTCAAATCTAATTCTTATGATCTTAGGACATTTGAGGTCCTATTAGCAGTTCCTATCATATTTATCATAATAAATGTCATCATCACTATCATCATCAACAACAACTGGGGCAGCTAAGTTGTGCAATGGATACAGTGCTGGGCCTGGAGTCAGGAAGACCTGAGTTCAAATCCAGCTTCAGACGTTTACGAACTATGTGACCAAGGACAGTTACTTAAACTTCTATCTGCCTCAGTTTCCTCAACTGTAAAATGGGAATAATAACAGCACCTATCTCCCAGGGTTGTTACGAGGATCAAATGAAATAATAATTGTAAGACACTTAACATACTACCTGGCATATTGTAAGTGCTATGTAAATGTGGGCTGCTATTATTATTGTTGTTGTTTTTATTATTCCTTTATCTCTAGTTTTTAAAGCAGCCAGTGTTAAAAAAAAAAAACCATGAATCTAGAAACTCTCAGTAAATGCATCTGTCAGATAGTAAATAGCTGACATTTTCTGGAATCAATCTTGGATCAATATTACAATTACTCTGAAAAAAAATTTAATACTTTGAAACAAAGAGGCATTGGTGGAAATCTGCAAGAAAACTCTCTGTGAAAACATCACGTATCCCTAATGTTTGTGTATGTGAACATTCATTAATGTGTTCTCTCTAAACTGATTTTTAAAATTAGGGTTGACTCTTAAGTAAAAATGTAAGATCATGTTGCATGAGGACCTGCAACAGAGAGAATGGAACAGAAGCTGGTCACTGTCCTTGACTGCCTTGAAAGCTTACTGGGGTGAGGGAGAGGAATTAGGCTTATTCTGCCTGGGATTGGGGTTGAGAAATCAGATCGGTAGAAATTGCAGAGAAAAGATTTCAGCTTAATATAAAAAGAAACTTTCTGACAATTTTAGCTGTCTAACAATGGAATCAATTATCTTGGGGAGTAATGAGTTCCCTGACATAGGAGGTCTTCAAGACTCTAAATTGTAGGATTTCATGCCTAATTTCATATAACACTAGGGTAGAAATAGTAGAAAAAAGAAGGGCTAAGAAATTATCGGGTTTTTTTTTTAACCTTTAACTCTCTGTTTAAACTTGTGCTAAGTTCATTCAGACACTATTATGCTCAAATACTGAGAATCTTATTTTTATGGTGATTTTTATATCAAAGTAAGGGTAGTCAGAATAGCATTATAAGACAAAGAATTGGTCTTGGAAAGAAGCGACCTAGTGCAAGCCTCATTTCCCATTCTTAAAATCCAGTGTATTATTACAACATTGACTCTTCAGAAAATTGGCCACCGGGTGACACATTTTTTGACTTCAGCAATTGATGAAAACCATTTCCTAAGGCATGGAAGGCTTTCAGTCTGGGATGGAGGAAGCATTCACACAAGTTAAAACCATGGATGTTTTCAAGCATTGAAACAGAGAGAATCTGAAGGCTCAGAAAACTCCAGCATCTATTGAAAGTGCCATTTGGATGACATCAATTCAAAAGATGTTTACTAAGTTCATACTCTGTACAAGGATCCATGCTGGTGAGGGTCACTTGCCTGTGTGGTACAGGAAACACTTGAGAACTCTCCCTAGAAACTGTGCTTGGGAATTTGCGATGTCATACCTACCATTCTGTAACAGCATCCATCCTTGGTGTGTTCCTTTGTTGAAAGCATCAAGCCAACTGGAGGAAAGTGGACACAAATTGGAGCAGGATGGAATGCTTAAAGCCAGTGAAGATATGGAAATCACCTGATATATTTTTACCCAGGGTGGCTTAGGACTTAAAAAAAAATACAAAGTAATTGGTGTGTTATATTCTTTAGTCAGTTATAAAAAGAGAGGCAATTGGGGAAAAATCGACCCAAGTGAGGGGTCGCATAAGCTACGGCAAATTGGGCCATAACTTCGGCCCTTGCCTGTGAACAGCAATGGAGTGTTGAGATTTGACTCAAGTTCAGGTGGACACAAAGAGAAGAATTTCCCTTCTATTATCATAGCCCTGAGATGGAGAATAATACTGCCAATCACTGTGCCCTTATTTGGTATTCTGCAAAAGGAAGTAGGACATCAGTCAACTCATGGCACACCAATACATGGGCTGTTGTGAAGGCAACTAAGAAAGGCAGACTTGGTATGATAGAAAGGGCTCTGGTTTTGAAGTCATAGCTGTGACTTTAGAATTCTGGCTCTATCTCTTGTATGACCTTGGGCAAGTCACATAACCTTGTGGGCCTTAGTTTCCTAACTGTAGAATAAGGGATTGGACTAGCCGACCTCCTAAGTGTCCCTTTGAGCTTTAAATGGATTATCCTGTGAGCCTACATCATTCATTTGATGGGGTCTTTTTCGCTCTGTCTCTGTTTCTCTGTCTCTCTTTGTCTCTGTCTCTCTCTGTCGTCTCCCCTCCCCACCTCTTTCCCTCTCCTCTTTTCTCTTTCTGTCTCCCCTCTCCTGTTTGTTTCTGGGGCTGAGGCTCACATTCTGTCCCCCTCTTTTCTCAATTCAAACCAGATATGCCCAAATGATCAAGAAGTAAATAAGGAATGCTTTGAAAACATTCTCTCTCTCACTGTTATTTATCTTTTCCCACTGGGAATGATGTCAAAAGACACATTTTACTTGTTCATGTGGAGCAGTTTTCCCTGGATCACTCTCCCCAGGTGTTTTTTGTTTTTTGAAACAGAATTGACTTCTCAATGAGAAGTAATGTGGTATAGTGGGAGAAGTGGATATGTAGTCAGAGGTCCAACGTTCAAATCCAGGGTCTCCTACTTACTACCTGGTGATGTCGGGAAAGTCATTTTACCCCTTTGGGCCACAGTGTTTTTAAACTCTGTGAAATGAGTGGATTGGGCTCAATCTCTAAGGTTCGTTGCTCTAAAGCCAATGACCTGCTCTTGTTTCTTTTCTTTTCTTTTCTTTTCTTTTCTTTTCTTTTCTTTTCTTT